GACGCTCTTTCGTGTTGCAATAAGATTACATAAAAATATTGATAAATGTTTTCAGACAATCTGACCCGAAAATTTGTTTATGACATATAAATCTGCGATGTCGTTGTATTTATCAGTGTCTTTTTGAAGTATGAATTTTGAAATATTTCGAGAAGAGCACGAATTGCAATTTATTATATAAAGATTTAATTTGTCAATATATTAGTGTTTCAATATTGGACATAATTCGTAATGTATAAAGAGGATAATAAAGGAGATGCATTGATGTATTTAATTGTATTTAATAAGTTTCCCATGACAATTTGATAGTATTGATAAAATATTGCGATACTATTGTACAACGGTGTATTATCCAGAGTAGTCCTTCACTCGAGACTGACTGACAATGAATCGTGCATGCAGAAGATTGTATTGGTTAAAAAAAAAAGAAAATAAAAGATAAAGCTCTTGGTGCCCACACATTGATTCGATATTTCGTTTGGAATTGATAATCCCGGATTCTAGCGATTCTGCTGTCAAAAAGAAACTACTGTCGACACAAATAAGTCCTCCCTAAAAAGTTACCGTTTCGTGCAGTTACTTCTCATTGATTTTACGTCCAGTGGGTCATGATATTCCCGCTCACACGTTCGCACGATTTGAGGCTGACGGGTCAGTGCAGACGCGTTTAACTATTTCCGATGAGATTGTGGATTTAGCTTTCCGTTCTGCATTCTATGAATATCAAACCGTCTCGGTGTTGACGCGCGTGCGTATATGTTTACCTTGGAATATCAGACAGACCATACACACGATAAAGTCAATGATATTCCTTGTCCCAGGTGGTTGACCGACTGTGCCCTAAGAAAATTAACAGAGGTCTAAGGTTCCGCACGCTGAGATCTAAAGTTATACGGCTGTGTCATGCAGCGCGCAATATTGTCACGACGTCACGAGCGCGTTCTAATTAATGTGCCTTTACAATGTTAATTCAGGTCGTAAATAATTTCACACGGTAGCGACAGCGTACGCGATTATCAACGAATAAATATGATAAAATGATTTTCGACTTGACGATTTGACGAAGCGATTTGATCTTGCTTTACACGTCACAAGTGCAACAAGAGCCCGTGCTGTTAAACGGCGCTTTTACGCATCTCTACTCCTTCACCTCTGTACGTGCGCGCATACAATAGAATAGGGGACGTGTTAATCGTACGAAAGCACGCGGCTAAACCAATCGCTATACATGCTCTCCCCGAATTACAGCGGACAACGCTGCGCCAGGGAATTAAGCGACACCTAAGGGCATATGTGCTCCGGGAGATGTCACGATACCGCGACAATACTTGCCCAGTTTCCCATCGGAACCTCAAAGTGACTTATCGCCGTAGGCCGCGTGTACCGTCGTTTCTGTACGTAATTTGCCATTCGCGAATTGCGCGCGACGCGATTTAAGAGGGAAACGGAAATGGACAAGTGCTGCGCAATGCACAATGATTCTAATTCCTTTAAAAGCTAGCCAAAATGTCGTTTTTTAATTATCAAATTATAATAATTATTTAAAATAATTTTAATGCATTATATCGAAAAATTATAAAACCAACCTTTTCTAAGTTATGTTTTCAGTAGAATTACCAGTTTTCAAGCATATTTTTTAAGATATGGAATAATACGTAATATTTGTTTACATTTTATATTTTCGGATACAGTTTACGTAAGAGTAATCAATTTCAACTAAAATAAGCGTTGCTATTTAACATTTAGATAAATATTTATTTCTTCTAGTTCAATAAGTCATTCGTAGATTTAAAAAAAAGTCCGATGATGCTTGATTCAGATCTCATTTTATAAATGTCTAAAATGGTTAATTCTCTAGAGAAAAAAACACATTCATATTCCTTTTACTAATATTGTAAAATATTTAATAGAAACACCTAAAGGCTCGTCTGCATAGTAGTCGTAGACGATCGTAAAGTCTAAGTCGTAGGAAACTGACCAATTACAATCAAATGTAAGGAGAATACTTAAGTAGGATTAGTTAATTAATTTCTTAGAGTTTGAGACCTTACAATTGTCTACGACTTCTATATAGACGAGCCTTAACATGTTCATTACGATGAATTATGTAATACATTATCTATAGATGTTATTGCTAATTAAATTTCAAAATCAATTTTACGGTCAAAACGTCAAATGTTTTTAATAGTGATGATAATGAATAATTTGTAAAGTAAATTCAAAACGTTATCATTATGCACTATGTGTCTTTTTATTATTTTAAATTATAAAAACGATTTTAAACAAAATTTATTTAAAAATTGACATAAATAATGTATAAATAATTTTAGCCAAGTTTAGAGGTTTTTGAAATTATTGTGCAATGACAATTTCACTGTGACTTAATGTACAAATATACAAAAATTAGGGAAAATATCGAAAAAAAGAAGCTCTCAAAATATATATTTTCCTCGATATACGCGCGTACATTGACATAACTGTGCATTTGATATGTGTGAAATATAAATTTTTTATGTTGCTTTGTATTGTAACTTTTGCAAGCAAAGCCTACTTTTTCTCGTTTAACGAATAACACCGTCTTATACTGGGAAAAGTTAAAACGCATCGCGTTATGTTTAGGTATTCTCGACAACAGATTGTCGTAAGTTGCTACGAGCAAATAAGGCCTGTTTATGCTTTGGTTTCCATCCATGTGAAGGAAACTCAAGCAAATCTTCTGTTTAATCTTAAGCGTACACTTGCGCCCTTGAATTTTCAACGATACGAATAACGAGAAACAGCGGCGCAAATAGGCGGTGACCGCTAGATTGTTTAAAGAGGACATTACAAAAAGACGGCAAGGTAGCTGCGAGACGGAGGACTGAGATAAATTATCTCAGGGAAAAAATGTACTGCGAAATACGAGAGAGCTGTTAGAATCGTAACGAGCGTAACGTAGATATAAAAAGAGACGCTGGCAGACTAAAAGGGAATAAGTCAAACAGATATGTTAAGGAAAGAAGATGACATAAAAATAAAGTGCTTAAAAGAACTGGGAGAAATGAAAGCAGACACGGTTAAATGTAACTAGGATAAGGAGAAGAGAAAAAGAAACAATGCGATAAGGGAAAAAGGTGATTCTCTCGGAGCCTGGCGAGATCGAGGGGCGGAACGGAGGAAAGGGAACAGAGATGAGGGCGAGAGAGCACGAAGGGAGCAAACATTAATGCCACCTTGCAGACCGCAGATGTTGCACCAATTACAAACCTCATCCTTCCTTCGCAGTCCGTCCTTTCCTTCCTCCCGACCTCCGCAAATAGAGAAGGAGAGACAAGGAGACATATGCCGTATTCAAACTTACCACGTCCCATCGCATTCACCATCTTCCTCTCTTCGCCTCTCAGCCTCCATCTTTTCACTCTCATCTTTCCGCCGTCTCTCAACCCGCCCCCGGGGCGATGACATTGGTTATACGGGAGGAGACACACGGTAGACACAGTAGAGACGGCGAAGCTCAACGAGACACGAATTTTCGATTAAATTTAACACAGGGCGCAAAAGGACGCCAGGGCGCTGCACGTTGCTGTTTTAGGTGATAGAGCAAAGCGAAGGACAAAGAAAGAAATAGAGGGGTGAGGAGGGAAAGGCGTGGATGGGGATGGAGAACGCGGTCTACACAGCGGTGGCTGATATTATTCTTGGGTCTTCCTCGCTGGAGCATTATTAGTTCCGGCGTGTTAGCATACATGAAATATTGATGTTACACGGATCTCTTCTACCCAAGTCAACCCCAGTTCCCAGTTCTCTCTCTCTCTCTCTCTCTCTCTCTCTCTCTCTCTCTCTTGTTTCTATCTATTCATCTATCCTTTCCGCTCTTGCATATAACCACCACTCATGTGTGTCTGTTACGAACATCACTTCAGTTGCCTCTCTGTTACCTTTATGTTTATTCTGCCATTCTTTTTATTCTTCACACTCGTTCCTCACCTAAACTTTTTTGATAGTCACACACACATACATACTTCCGCGTTTTGATTTTCTAAGTAAATACTTGCAGTTTTCCAAAGAGCAATATGTTACATTGAAATCTTTTTTCTTCAAGTTTTTTTTGATAGATTTAATCTATAAAATTTGTTTGAATTTTTCTTTTTTTATACAACGATGAAAATACGTTACTTTAATAATACGTTGTGTGATTTAAAACAGCTATGTTCATGTCGATCATTTTGTATAATATAGAAAGAAAGATTCGTTCTCGGAAAAATTCCAATTGTTATCCCGTTACAGACCTCATTTCCGTGGTTCTCTTTCGCCCTCTGTAGAAAGCTTTAAAGCGAACTGCTTACCCTTCTTCAAACCACTCTTAAAGCCGCAATCGATTCCCAGGATTCCCTGGTGGGTCCCCTGGCTCTAGTTAACATCGAAGTTAATCGCGTCGGAGATTCAAAGTATGTTGCTGGAAAATCCAGTTATGGGATGGCATTTGACTATACGTGATGCTAGATTGAATATGTAAATCCGTTCTAGCTAGATTACGATTTTACTAACACATAGAGTACACAGGTTGGAGTTTTTGAGTTTTTTTATGTATTCGCAAAGATGTTTGTTAATGCTAATAATAAACGATTTATAAATGTATCAGAATATTTCTGTGCATTTAATACACATAATGCTACAATTAACAATCCTTCATAATTCGTAAGAAATGTTTCATTTAATAGTTTTCTGCTTTTATATTTTTGACATTACGTCTGCATTTCTAAATTCTGTTCTCTGTCTCATTATTTCTACCTTTTTTTTAAACGTGTAAGAAAAATCTAAATGATTGATGTGTTCTTTTCAAATAAAGGTATATAAAAGATCCAAGAGAATACTTTTACCAAATATATCTCGAGTGCTTGTTACTCTTCGTATATTGTACGCTCGCGTGACAGTCGACGAGTGCATCACTTCGTTGAAATGCGAAGTTACGAAATCAATCCCATAATTCGTAAAATTGCGATGATGTACGTTTGAAATTACATAAAAAGGAGATATATACCGCTGCGAGTACCTACTCACCTGTCTTGATATTCTTCTCATTTTGAATTGTCAGCGAACTTGGATTTCCGTAAACAGAGTTATTCATCTCCGCCATGAATTCCCAATCTGCAAAAGTAAACGCGCGTTGGAAAATTAGATTCAAGCTAGTGAATATACGACGTGAATAATATCAATTATGATATATATGGAAGCATCAAATCCTATAACATAATTCTAATAGCACGATCTGCAATAATTTATCAATTTTGCAATGTTTTATGTATATAACCGTCATGACAAGAATCTGTCTCTAATATCTACCTTTTTTAGGGACCTCTGTGGTAGACGGGCTAGGACTGGTACTTGGTGGTGCAGACACTGTAACAAAATAAGTTTTCATCTTTAAAAACCGAGTATACGTTATAAATATTCAAAATATTCGTATATTTCTCAATCGTACAAAAAGACTCAGTCTTTCTTCATTCATCATTTTTTTCACAATTTTCGTGAAAAAGAACACAATTATTTTCAATGTTTCAAAGAGACGTGCTTTCTCAAATCCTCTCCCTCGATTCCAATCTATGGTACGCTCGCGTATTTCTTTTTGTTTTCATTCCTATTGTTACCAGCTTGTCTCGCGACTGCTTACATTTTTTACGTGGATCTAAGAAAGGTACGAGAATATTCATTATTTTGAACCGTCATTTATTTTTAGAATAATTCGAGAAATTACATAAAACAAATATGGAATTAAAATGAAAACAAACCAATGTAGAATTATGTGTTACCTATATGTACGTATATATTTACACGCAACCAGACAAAATACTTTTGTCCTTCCAGATTGGGTAAATTCTACACTGCGCGATATTATGGATCGCGCCACCTGTTACTAACTTCTCTCCCGGAACGTATTAGCCGCTGTAACGCCGGCCAAGCCGGCCAAACTCTACATCATATTTTACTCCGGTACTACCGACATCCGCGCCTTCCACCCTACACGCGCCTCTACGCGTAACTTATCCGGGTGTATATACCTGAATAATTATTCGTAATTTCATCATTTGTCTTTAGCGAATGCGTCGTCGACGGGATTTATTACCGACTGCAACTGTCCGCGGCTAGACGTGCTTACTGAAATTCCAGTTAAAAATTTTGCAGGATATGGTATTAATTTAAATTAGTATTGATAACTTTGTTATAATTATTACGCTTATCGCTGGATATATGTATCGGTATCGTATTAGCAATATTATAATTATTTTATCTAATCCTACTGTTAGAAAATTTACTTTAATTGTGCTATTAGCTCATTTTTATTTTTTTATGTACGATGATATCTTTTTATAGACATTCAGGAAGAGTAAGGGAACTGTGAACACCTAGGGAAAAATTATATAAATCAGACGTTTATAATTAAAAAAGTTTTTATTTAAAAGGTACCAGTTATTTTTGGCTTTAAAAAAAATTACAATAATTAATATTCATTATTATATCAGTAATGAACTATAAAGCCTATGACACATAGAAAAACATAAAACAATAAGATATAAGTGATAAGCAAACCAGCCAATCACAGTAAAGAACGTAAGGCAATAACGTAAGCAATAGAAAGTCCAAAATGTTGATTTGCTTATTGCTTATGTCTTATTTTACTGCATAAGTTTTTTATGTGTCATAGCCTTAATTTTAAACAAAAATCAAAATTCTTTAGAATTATTCACTGCCACATGAGTTAAATGATGAGTCAATTTTGTGTTTTTATTTAAAACTTAGTAGTTTACATAAATAATATATAAATATTAATTATTAATTTAAAGTCAGTATCCTTTAAATAAAACTTCTATAATTGATAAATAATCGTAAGTTTTATTTAATTTTTTTCTTAAAACATGTATTCTTTAACAACGTATACATTCTATGATCACACGTACAATGCTACACTAATACCACTAGATACGAGAAACGAAAGATTATTACTACTTTTATATACTGCAATAGAGTATCGTTCACGTTTACCTCGTATATGTAATTCCCCTTTCAATAAGTATTTTTAATATCAACTCTCTATTTCTAATTAAATTTTTGCACGAAATGAGAAGCAAAGTCCTGCTGGAACATATTATCATACATTTTAATTCAGGTGTATTCGAGAAAAAAGCGCAATAAGGAATAAAAGGATTAAGAATCAGATTTTGCGTGAGAAATATGTTCTCTTAATATCAATATAAACGCAAATGTTACATTAAATATCCGTTAATGTAAATAAATTACACTAGTTTACAGTAAGAAATTACTTTAGACCGGACTACGTGTCTCTTATAGATTTTTGGATGCTGAAAACGATGCCGTAAGCGAAAAAATTCTAGCACGTCAGATTTCCAAGGTAATTGAGGTTTAATATGTAACAAATGGTTTTTTTGGCGATATTTGACATTAATATTTTTTTATAAAGAAGGTGAACGTTATCTTGAAATTTCGAATCAAAAGTCATGAATGTATCATTACCCTTCTAAAATGCATTTTTTTTTATTTCAATATCTTACTTTTTAACCATGTTATGAAGGATTAAAGATAAGAGCTATTTCGAATATGGGGACTCCGGCAGCGTCATATGTGTATGCGGATTAATTTTTTAAAGTCACATTTTATGTGATTATTTTTTAAGGTTACCTTAACACTTATAGACAGCCAGACAGACAGACAGAGAGAGAGAGAGAGTTGTTTTATAAAAAAGATATGTGTTGCATATTACAAATTGCATATTTTTTTTTAAAACAATTATGTATTTTCATTACACCAGTCTCATAATTTTGTGCATAAAAGTTAAGGTACAATTATCAAAATGTGACCTTAAAAAATTAATCCGCATGCATATGTGACGCTGCCGGTGTCCCCATATTCGAAATAGTTCCTATCTTTAATTCTTCATAACATGGTTAAAAAGTAAGGTATTGAAATAAAAAAATGCATTTTAGAGGGGATGAATAATACATTCATGACTTCTGATCAAAATTTCAAAATAACGTTCACCTTCTTTATAAAAAAATGTAAAATATATCGCCAAACAAAACATTTTTTACATATTAAACCTCAATTATCTTGAAAATTTGACGAGTTAGAATTTTTTCGCTTGCGACATCGTTTTCAGCATCCAAAAATCTATAAGAGACACATAGTCCGGTCCAAAGTAATTGAAAAAAAATATTTTTTGTAAACTAGTGTTATCTAACCCGCAAAGTTCCGTACGATTATTTCTTCTACGGCATAAATTTAAAAAGGCATAATTTAATATCTATTGATAGCCTCGATATGGAGGATGTATCTACAGTGAAAGAGGTCATTGCTATTTGTCACAAGCACCTGAGCGATTACTAAGCGGCAAGGTTGTAGAGAGGGTACACGCGATGCACGTTGTGGAGGTGCGTTCTCCCCAATGTAAATAGGATAGGATGACAAAGTATGCGCCTCAGCAGACGTGTTTACACACGCGAACGTAATACAAATATGTAGCCCCTGTCGTCTTTTCCGTAAGATAATACCTAAATGACTTTCAACCCCCAGCCCCGTTTTACTTGTTCGAGTGGCAATATTTACGCCAAAAATTACAACGACATGTCGACGTGCAACTTTATCTCGCGACGTTTGTCACCGTACACACGCGCGAGATGGGGTGCGAATGTAAATCAATAAAATTTATATCGTCGAAAATTGGATGGCGAGACACTGAATTTGCGATTGTCATTGTCGTTCATAAGCTTCTCCACGTATAAAAATCAATATTTCAATATCTGTGCAAACGAATTATGATTGTGACCATCAAAATTGTCATCGTTCGTCATTGTGGTTATTATGAGGCTACTATCCAGTTTTATAGATATAAATATGGCACGCACGGTGGATGAAATTCATTTATCATTTTTGCAAGTCACCGATGGAAGGCAAAGAGATTAAAGCTGAGAGCGCAATGAGGAAAAAGCGAGAAAGGCAGAGAGAAAGTAAGATGGAAGAGAACGATAGAGAGGGAAGAGGGAAAAGAAGAAAAAAAGGGCAAGAGGAAAAGAGAGAGAAAGTAAGGCAGCGACTTTTCACCTTTGATTTATCGCGCTAACTTTTATTTTCCTCAGGAGATATTAAAACCCGTTGTCCTGACCATTTAGCTTCACTGAGCTGATTGATGATTGGACCAGTTAACGTGCCGACCTCCACCGACGAATCAGCTCTTTCATTATGCCCAATTAATATGCATTTGTAGCATACTAGAATCTAGAGATTTAATTGCCAACCTGATCAAAATTTAATTCAGAGTCAGATTGTCGCAACTTTGCAAGAAAGATTCATTGATCGTCAATAATTAATTATCAAAAATTATTGGGAGAGTTTATCGCAAATAAAAAATGTTCAGATACCGATATAAATATAAAGATACTTTTTAATTTAGTATTCTGTCGTAGAAAAATCGTAAATAAAATCTAGTAAAGATATAGAGAAGAAATATATCGTGCGATTTCTACTATATTTGTAAAATTTATACATCCTAAAAGTTATCTGTCCAAAAATGCATCGATTTAAAAGCAATTATCGTAGTGAGTGTGCCAGGAGAACTCATTAAAATCTTAAGATGTCTTAATTAATCTAATAGCATCATCCCTTTTCATTGGTACATCACTAAACGATCTATTTCTCCCTTTCCCATTCACTCATTTGCCTTCCATCTAATTTCTCCTTGCATCGTGCAATGAGTATACGCAAGACGTTCAGATGTCTAGTGTAAATGTTATTCACTAAGCGAGTAATTTTGTTAGCGTATCTTAGCACTGTATAAATTACATACAATTAGGAAACCAATGTCAATAACCAAAAGGAATCTATTTGTAGAATATTAAATATATATATCAAGGTACAAGTTTAAAGTATCAAAGTTGATCACGGGGAATAAGACACGTTAGAAAATTGGAAATTAAATAATATAATGACAATTACTGGTTTTTAACTAAATATCATTCGAAGTATTAGGAAAACGAGCTTTTAGAAGTAAAATTTGAATTAAAATTTGCAATATATATTTCATACAACGTGCATGTCTAAGACCGATATTTATAGTCGGTTCTTATTTTAAAATCGTCTTAAATAATATCTCAAGATGCTAATACGGCTCTGCGATCGGTTCATGACATCTTAATACTGTACTTAAGACAGTCTTAAATATAAGAATCGACTATGAATATCGATTACAAAGATATCTTTAAATATGCGTGATATCTGGAATAACAATTTTAAAATACAAGTTACTTTAGAAGAAAACCTACTTGGAAACTTCTTTAGTTTATTTTAACATCATTTTTTTAAAGCAAAAACATGGAGCGTGATCATCGTTT